TAATGTTTTATATAATGTGATAATTTATCAAATAAATAGTATAATAATTGGAATTAATTGGAGTTAAGAATTCTCAAGTTTTTGTAAGTATTAAGTAAAAGGATCAAAAAAAGTGACGAGAGCGTTATAACAATTAAATTATTATAAATGAAAATAAAAAAGTGACGAAAATCATCCCCTTGGCCTTGTGGCTGCACCAGAATTTTCCTTGTTGTATACATTATCACACTAGATCGAGGCCATTTAGCTCTTTTTAATTCCCAATTATTTGAAAAAAAATCATGGCCACTAGATTTCCATTATTGACATGTGACATCTTCATAAAAAATTTTAATTGTGGTGTAAATGTAAATAGATTATAAGTGTCAAGATGTTAACTAACAACCATTTGAATCCAGACTTTTAGAGACGAGGTATACATAAGTTCTAATAATTATTAATGGAGTAATTGGAACATAGGTCAGAGTGTGAATCATAATGGATGGTGGTATGAGAGATTTAGGCTTTGCAAATGGCTGCTGAGTTGGGCTATGAGATGAGAACTTGGCTGTTCAGAGTTATTATCTTCAGGCTTTTGCTGCTATTATAATATGCTGAGAGGAGAGTCTTTAGATCGACTTGGTGCCTGCCGCCTGGTAGTTGACGACATTAAGCTTCATTTTTTTCAACAGAAAGAAGTGGTTAGTTATGAAGAAAGCAAAGCATTTCCTTTTCCTGGAAAATGCTCCACTCCAAAACAAGAAATTGAAAGGAAGTTAGTACCCAACAAAAAGGGAAATCGAAAGGAAAATATTAGGTATAATGACTTCACAGCCCAATTGGCAAGTTAAGGAATAGCTTACATTGATTTAAAATTAGATGTTTATCCAGCCAGAGTTGTATGATGAGCACCGAACGAAAAGTTTATATTTAAATATTAGCTGTCATAAATGTTAAATTTAATTAGCATCAAAGTCAACTTCATTGAATATAGTATGTGATGAGGAATTAATCTGAAAGTATACATAATTTAAAATAACATCGTTTAAAAAAATTATTCATAAATACTAAGGCAAATAGAAATGGTATTTTTGATGACATCGGAACAAGTAATTATTTAATTATGCTTTTTAAATTTTATCAAATATTTTTATATTATATTATATAAAACTCTCAAACCATAAACTTTTAAATTTACTTATCATTATTACTATACAATATGTTAGCTTATCTTTAATTTTTGTTTAATTTATAATCAATTTTAATGATAATCAATTATTAAAAAGCATTAAAAATAAAGATATATCTTCCTTTCTCTATTGGGAA